GGGATGGTTTCTAGGATATACTGGCAGAAAAAAGTCTGTCTCCAAAAAAAAAAAAAAAGAAATAAAAAAAAGTAAGAAAGAAATCAAGGTGTGGTGTCGGAAGTAGGAAGATGTAGGGAGCTTTCTTTTCTTTTCTTTTCGAGACTGAGTTTCGCTCTTGTTGCCCAGGCTGGAGTGCAATGGCGCAATCTTGGCTCACCGCAACCTCCACCTCTTGGGTTCAAGCAATTCTCCTACCTCAGCCTCCCTAGTAGCTGGGATTACAGGCATGTGCCACCACACCCAGCTAATTTTTGTATTTTTAGTTGAGACGGGGTTTCTCCATGTTGGTCAGGCTGGTTTCAAACTCCCGACCTCAGGTGATCCGCCTGCCCCCGTATCCCAAAATGCTGGATTACAGGCATGAGCCACTACTGGCGGGAGCTTTCTTTTATGGTGAAATTGTTTAAGGAAGCATTTAGCATGACTAATCTGTTTCCCCCTTTGGAAATGGTTCACTTAAGTACAGCCTAATTAGGAGGGAATAGACAATGCACCCAAGGTCAAGATGGGACTTGCTTTGTTACCTTCTAAAGACTCATGAGAGTGGCAATATTTACGAATTGATACATTTAGAATGAGCCATGAACTGATGTGTGGGTGTGCATTTTTAATCAAAGCAGGAATGACATATCTAATCATGTCACTAACTCAAATTTCTTGTGTCTTAGTGCAAATCAAATTAATACCATGACTCTTACTTATCTTATTAAAAAAGCAATTCCCAACATGTATTACTTATTTATTTAGAAAGTAAATAACTTTATCAACCTGCTTTGGAGATATAAACTGCCCTGAGGAAGCAGTAGTCAGAATAAAAGCCAGCTACTGCAATTATCTCCTGCCACCCTCTTGGATTCAAAAACTCACAGCTGGGCATGCACCTGTCATCCCAGCTACTTGGGAGCCTGAGGTGATTAGATTGCTTGAGCCCAGGAGTTTGAGACCAGCTTGGACAATGTAGTGAGACTCCTGTCTCAAAAAAAAAGAAGATTCATAAGCCTAGTTTCTCCCTATTTCCTCTCCTTCACCACATTCCACTGATGTGTTGGCCTTCCTCCTGTACTTCAAGTATAGTGAGTTTGTCTCCATCTCAGAACGACCTGGAAAGTTCTTCCTGAGATTTTCACATGGCTCTTTCTTTTTCTTTCTTTCCTTCTTTCTTTCCTTCTTTCTTTCTTTCTTTCTTTCTTTCTTTCTTTCTTTCTTTCTTTCTTTCTTTCTTTCTTTCTCTTTCTTTCTTTCTTTCTTTCTTTCTTTCTTTCTTTCTTTCTTTCTTTCTTTCTTTCTTTCTTTCTTTCTCTTTCTTTCTTTCTTTCTTTTCTTTCTTTCTCTGAGGCAGGGTCGCACTCTGTCACCCAGGCTGTCACTGCAGCCTCAACCTCCCAGGCTCAAGTGATCCTCCCACCTCAA